CTCTCAGCCACCAGTACTTCAAACCAGACTACTCAATCTACACTTTATTTCACCATGTCACAAATAAAAATAAAAACATTTCTGACAAATTAGTCTCTGTTTAATCATAATTATAATGTTTTTAATCGGTATAATGTCAAGACTTATTTCATCTTCGTAATACAAGATAAGTACCGTATGTTGACAAAAAATATGGACAAATTTTACAATTAAAATCAAACAAGAATACAGTTTTCTTGAAATAACTACTATCTTCTGGAGTACAATGGCCGAGTAGAAAATTATTAAACATATTTTTGTCAAGTTACACACCTTCCTGCTATTGTCATATATAACTTCTACTAATAAGTAATGCCTAGATAAATATGATGGTTTTCAAAGTCCAAATATAAATTAGTGCTTAAAAAAAGTACACTATAAATAACTTTTAGTAGAGAATACGGGACAGTTCCTTTCATCTAAAGGTTAACATAAAGTGATTGACTTCAAAAAAATGTCTATACCTTCAATTCTAATGAAACAACATTTATCAACATTGGCATTACGAGTGGATTACACTGTACATTATCAGTCATGAAGTACAAACATTGAATTCATTATGTGGCTCTTTTAAAGAACTTATTTCGTTAATTTTGTACAAGTTATTCTTTGAAGCTCTGCTAAGTACACATAAGTTCAAGCCAATGTAACATGAAAAATGCATTGTCAACGGTCTTACAAAATTATTAATATAATGGAATTTATGGAAAAATAACCGGCCAAAAGACCTTACCCATATGCATGAATGAATAGACTGTATAAAACAAAGAATTTGAGTCTATAGTGAGTAAAAAATATAATATACTGTATTATAATATACTGTGTTAAACAAGAAAATTATGGACCCTTTATGAAACAAAACTATACATATTAATATTCGATATTAAAAGTTAAATATAATTTTCTGTGTCATGATTAAATCAATGTAAGTTAAAGTTATATAGATCAGCATATAAACATCTCATAAAATAGTCCATATCATTCAGTGGTATTGGAGCAGTGTAAATAAATAATTTCATGCGGGACTAGATAAATTGTAGGAGCCATAACCAGAATGGAGCATATTTTGGGCTCAAAGACAGGACAATTTATAACAAACTTAACGCCCTTATCAATCAATGTAAGCAGTCTTCAATTAGAATATTGATGAACATTTTTGTTGAGGTGTTGTGGTCTAGTGGATAAGTCACCGGACTGTAGCTCAATAGGTACTGGGTTCAAATCCAAGCCCGGTACTAACGTCCTTTGGCAAGACTTTAATCTACATGTGCCACTCTCCACCCAGGTGTTAAATGGGTACCCAATAGAATGGGAACATTAATGTTGTTTGCTCATCATTGTGAGTGTCTGAAAATACATTATGCATTGTGTGTGCTAGCATGCCTGAATCCGATGACCGCAGTAATAATATATCTGTAAAGCGCTTAGAGACTTTGTCGATATATTAAGAGCAATATAGTGCAAAATATTATTAATTATTATCTTATTTGATTATATGAGAAATTATTCTCTATCCAATACCATGACTCAAGCCATCCTTCAGAGACCTAATAAGCATTCATATCTACACTGCTGCCCAACCTTGATTAGAATATACACAACAACACTTTTCAAAGCCATTCCCCCCAAAATCACTTACAAAATATTTGGCAAATAAAAATGAGCCGGCTATAATTTCAATAGCTTGACACTCAATTAAGTGTTGGCAATTTGTCACAAAGTGTCCTGAGCTGCCACATAATTTCCATTCCATTTATTTTGTGTAATGCTCCGTGACAAAATTAGAATTACCAAATTCTTTGGCGATGTATCAAAATTTCTCTAACTAAAATGAGGGAATAACATCAAAATTCTTTAGTTGGTACATCATATAAAAGCAAGGTGGTGAAATAGAATAAGAAATACACCATTTGTGTACTGTGAAAAAGGACATGAATTATTCTCTTTTACTCATTACATGTAAAGTCACTTTTTAAAATGCAAGGGGATGTACTCCTTATGCAAAAAGAAATATACTGGTATATATATTTGTCAATTTCTCTGTAACCGGAAGGATACCAACTCATATGATGTCACTCAGAGTTAACACCCCTATGGCTCCAAACAGACATGTTGATAACATTTTACTGCAAACAATGCATCAAATCCTGTTATGTGGTTAATATTATCTTGTCTAATACCTAAGTTACATACAATACTGTGACATGCTTTCTGTGCTTGGAATGGTGGTTGAAATACAAAAAGGCACAAAACAGTTTTCCACAAAAAAACAAAGAGTTGTATCAATATATGTGACAATAAACTATCAGTTTGGGATCAAGTCAAAAACAATAATATAAAAGCATTGAAGAAAAGGCATACCAGTAGAGGATATTGTCTCATGGTCCTGTTCAATTACACATTGTATTTCATTTAATCAAACTTCTAAAATGTTCCATTTCAATTTTAATTTTTTTAATTTTTCTAATTCATCCATCAAACTGGGATTTATATTGTAAAACCTGACATATCAAAAGCAAGAAAAGAAAAAAATTGTAAGTTATTCCGAAAGTGATAAGTATAAAGTCACATATATCTATAGTATATAAAGAAGAAAAAATGAGCTGTCAGTTCTTTGTTTATACCGGTATCTACAAATATAAAATCATCCCCACAATATACAACAAAGCACACATGAGGCTGAAAGAGCAATGAAAAACAATAACTTGGTTTGCCTTTATATCATATCCTAAAAATAAAAAATAAAATCAGATTGTGCAGGCGAAGAGGCAGCAACACAGACAATCCTGACAGAGCTAGTCATGTATCATCCATATTGATCACTCTTTATAGAACTAAAAAGAAAATGGTCTATTTAGAAAATATATCGGTTGTGTGAAAAGTGATGCTGATTGCTAAAGGTTCATTAGCATACACTAGTGAGCAATACCATTATGAAATACCGTGTCTACAAAGACAGATTCATAAGGGCAGTTAGCATTACTGGGGAGTGTTTCACAAAGATCCTAAGTCAAACTTAACTCTTAGTTGGACTCAAACATTATGGAGAGCCACTTGTTGCCTTAAAATAAAATATATTTAAAAGCAAAAATTGAAGTTTTTTAGACTTTTCATAAATTTTACATCAAGAACATGAAATCTCCTTGATAATAGAAAATATGAATGATTTGAATCAACATTTTATGCCGTTTATAATAACTTTTACAAAATATTTTGAAAGATGCGAACGGCTTTCCATAATGTTTAAGTCCTACTTAGGATCTTTGTGAGACACCCCCCTGGTGATCTATGCATTGCCTTTAATAGCTCGATGTTTTAGGAATTATTATGAATGTACAACTAATTAACTAACATTTTGTTTGGGTACAATTATCAAAGTGTCATCATTCCATCATTGTCCTGAGAGCGATTCACTTCAAAGCATCTATGAGTAACATCCAACATGAACAAATTTTCATTAATTTCACTAGAAAAAGCAAAATGCCTCACTATAACCAGAGACCAAAGAGTCTTCCTGATGTCAGGAGGTCACATGTATGTCCACAAAACTATTTGTTACCATTTCTTTACATAACCTGTAGGCCGACACATGTTGTCAAAATGTCCCTTTTTCCTACATGAAAAGAAGCAGATGTGATGCAACTCACACAAGATTCCTCTATTCATATGCAGCTGTAGTGGTCTCTTTGTTTTTTGACAAAGCAGAATCATTATCTTGGTCAGAAATTTATCTCTGCCTTTTTTAAGTTAAAGCAAGTATTGTTTAAAAGCAACATACCATTTAAACAAATTACTTAAAAAGGCTGGCTATCTATGATAGATTGGCTATGGTTGATGAATAAAAAAAAGTACAATAGCACCTTGAGCAATTAATGCTAAAATTGTATTTCATTCCAAAAAGGAATTGACATGTCAAAACTACTATGTCAAAATCTTTGTCGACAAATGTGATCTTGAATACCAGAATTTGAACAGAAAGTGGCTCAAATTAATTCAAATTTAATTTGATTCAATAAGAACATATTAACCGTCAAAAATTAACTCAAAATTACCTTAGACTACAAAGATACAATGAATATCAAATATGAAACATATGATAGAAGCAGTTGAAATGAAATGAATACAAACCGTACATGTAGATGAAAAAATACAAGATGCAAAGCTAAAGGTGATGATTGATTGGAATGCTGATCAACTTCAATACACACGCATATCAACTAATACCACTACATACCCAACGTGAGGCAGTATATAATACTCTATTGGAAATACATCGTACACTGAAACCTTATAGGCAGGCAGGTGGTCTTCATGTATAGGTTCATTTAGTACATGTTTCAATGTGAAACCATTTTCACGGGAAACAAAAAATATGGTCTTTATAGACAGGTGGTCTTCTTATACAGGTGGCCTGTACGACATACATGTACTGTAAATGCAATTCCATCAGAATCTTCAAATGAATGACCCGTTCATAAATCTTTATGGACTGATATTTACGGATAACTAACTTTCACAAAAAGTGAAACTGTCCATGTACCGGTAGGTATGTTCTTATTGTGTTCTTCCACATTGTGAAACTTTTCAAATATGGACCACTTCTTGAATTGGTCCAGGTTTAACAAACAGAAAATATTTTGGTTTACACAGCATTCTTAATGTACAGGGGAGACAACAAGCAAGCTGCATTCACACTTAACATGTATCAAGGATTTCATCAAGGTCAGTGTGTTACTGTTTTAAATGCCATTTAAGCATGAGTGGCAAAATATGTGAATACACCCGTCCAAGGGTGAGATTATACAGGCCATCACCAAGATGTATCCATGTTTTGTATCATCATATTTCTGTTCTTTGTAAGCTTTGTCCGAGCCTTTATTTTACATGTGAGATAAACAAATATCCATGTTGAACGTACATTGGATAAATAAATACATTGAGTTGAACTGAAATGGACTGAAATGGACTGAAATGGACTGAAAAGCAGATTCCATTTAAATCAAGTTCTGTTTCTCTTTACATCACCATGTTGAAAGTTTAATATCACAGGGGCTAGCTCACAAAGTGTAGAGGGGATAGCTCACTCAAGGAATTTACATATAGGGCCACAATCAACCATAAATACACAACAAAAATTGATGTTATATGATGGAATTACAAATGTTAATACAACACAAAAACCAACACATATAATGTAGATGTAAATAATAATTTGAGTATAAATAATATCTGTTCATACATGTATATTACAAATTAACATATAAATGTAGGTTACAGCAACAAGGTTTGCCTATGACTTCCAAGGCATCCCCGTTCAAAACATTCAATTTTTACTGTGATACAGTACACTATTATAAAAAACCAGTTTGATTCTGATTAAAGAGTTTGTTTCAAGTATGCATGCAAGTATCTGAGGCTTTCAGAGCTTGTAAGGTGATCAAAATATGACCAGGCACCACCCCCCAACAACAACACAGAATTTTTCGGTTATTTTAGGTCTGGTTCTAAGAGCAGATTCTCAGCTTTAAATGATATACAGTGAAACCTGTGTGAAAAGACCGCTGCAGGGAGACAAGAAAAGTAGTCTTTATAGGCAGGAGGTCTCTATGTACAGGTTTCGTTAGTACATGTTTCAATGAGAAACCATTTTGAAGGGAAAAGACAAAAGCAGGTGACCTATATTTGTGTACTACTTACCAAATTGAAGGAGAGCAGGATGTCCAGTGACTCCAGTCTCAAAAGAAAATTACTTTAGAGAAAAGTTCAAGCGCTCTGGCCACCAAGGTATAGTCAAACTGCTTTGGTGACCACCTGTATAAAAAGATCACCTGTCTATTTAGACCTCATTTTTTGTTTCCCTTGAATATGGTAATTCATTGAAACCTATACAAAAGAAACCTGTACATAAAGTCAGACCACCTGCCTATGAAGACCACTTTTGATGTTTCCCATCGAGCAGTCTTGACAGGTTTCACTGTATTGTACAAGGTAATAAAAGGAGGATTAGAAATCTATAGAGATTTCTGTGAAGGGATAATCAGATTATACCAGATCCTGGTACACTAATTAAACACATCCTGTTTCTTTCGTTGTTGTTGTTGTTGTTATAGTTAAATTGGCGTACCGTATATCATTCATTTATGAATATTTACGCCTATTTTCTTCAAATTCGGTCTTAGTCTTGATGCAATGGCTTACTCTGATGTAAATGAGACCAGTAGCCAGCCAGGGTCACTCATAAAGAAACTATAAGTACTCCAACAAACTCAACATCAGACAAACATTCTGTAGGTCCACAAGACACTGCCAAAACACCACTTTTAGAGTACTGAGAACTCATAGCTTAAATATTGAAATACAGCTCGAACTTTCCAGTACAGTAGTTAAAGAAATAATGTACAAATGATCATTTAGATATTGACTCTAAACAAGGATACCCAGCAATGATTAGGAGGACATAAAACATTAATAACATGATCGCAAGGCAGTTCACATAATCAACCTAAAGCAATTTTAATAACCTTGTCCATTACCTTTTGCAATGGGTGAACATTTGATGTAACACAGTGACAACATGTCATATTATTTGATCAAAATATAATCTCTATCTATGGGATACAATAGGGTATTGAAATTACTCTTCATTTGATTTTTTTTGGAAGTAGTTGCGGTCATGTTCAATTACGATTATCATACAATCGATCTCTACGACAGGACTTTAGTTTGCAAGATTTAACTGTAACTCCTTACGAATCTCATCTAAGATGGCAGAGTTATCAGGCGCCCCCAAGTTGTCTTCAAATGGCAAGTTTTGAGTTTGGTTGGTGCTCTGCTCAAGTGTCTGTGTACCTCCTGACTTTCCATAATTATCCAGGTTGGCTGAACGCCTCTTCCAGGAGGGTTCAAGCGTGGATGCTCGCGTCTGTTGGTTGTAAATCTTCACCAAGTCCCTCACACCCCCTCCTGAACCAATCCCACTGTCGTTGCTCGATGCACTGTTCGTTGTGCCACTGTCGGAGAAAACTCCTGTATCAATACTGCTATTACTCAGCCCATTACTGAGTGATTTCTCAGTTGGAAAACCTAGGGTACTCTTTGGTCGTGGTCGGATGTCTAGTGCATTTCGATGGTTGTCTGCTTCCATTCTGTAGGCCAGCAATGACGTATTTGGGTTGGACTTTGCAGCTGCACTGTGCGGACTCATGAAGTTTGCATCTGGTAAGTACATAGATGTCCGGAGCACATTCTGAGAGTTCCTGTTATTGGCATCTAGCATTACCCCTGAAGCAGGTCTATCTAAGTTCCGCCTGCGCGTTTCAACTTTCATGAACGACTCTGCCCCCAGTGACCAATTGCTGTCCTGTATAACGGGAGGGGTCGTGACCTCCTCCTCGTCATCTTCGTCCCCAAGGTTCATACTCTCCATGATCACGGTATCCAAGAGATCCAAAGCCGCTTTTTCGGCCTGGAAACTCCCAGCATCTACATGTATATCCAATGTATTGTCTGAGATTTTTGAAGGGGAATGCTTTGTTTCTGTTGATTGTGATGGTTTGGGCTGGATGGGTTTACTCTGTGGCAGCGGTGGGATTTTAGCAGAGTCCACTTCATCCAGAGCTTGTACAGACTGTGGTTGTGACAGTTCTTCCCGCTCTTCCTCAGGAATGGGTCTTACTTGAGCCATCTTAGCTTTGACTTGGTTCCTCAAGTCTTTCATTGATTCTCTTTGCTCTAGGTTCCTCATCTCCTGTGCAGTGTCTGTGCCAGGCACCAACCCTCGTGGCACATCTGACATGTCATGGTAGCGATCTGTAGGTTGATACTCACGCCCAAACTCACTCCAAAAAGGATGCACATCGATTGAGTTCTGAAGGTGGGATGGGGGTCCATTATAGGACATCTCTGTCTTTGCACGATTTGGGAATTTGGAATCCAGAAAGTCCAAGGTATGGACCGTCCGACTAAAGTAGCCAGGAGTCTCTGTTCTACTGCCAATAAATGTCTCTGAGTCGAGAATAGACTTCTTGTAGAGGTCCTCGGACCTCGAGTGTGTCATTCCCATGGTTGCGTCGCTTTGGCTCTCACAAGAAAATAATTCCTAAAACGTCATGAGAGTTTAGCTCTATGAAAATTTGTTGCTCAGCTTCATGTATCTGGCTGTTCCTCATGCTGATGTCTGTGGCATCTGCAGAAAGACAGAAATAACACAAAATTGTGTTAACAGAAAAAAAAAAATCATGATATACTTGGAAGCCCTCCTGAGAGTCCTTATGGACAAACCTGTTTATTTGATCTGTATTAAAGTGCATGTCTACTGAAGAGAATAAATCATGCATGCACCTACCTTTGTCTGGCAATCTTCAGAATAATATTTTGATTTTTTTCAAAATGTAGCACATATGTAGAGTTGCATATTTGCTAATGGAACAATTGTGAAATATTTGGGGTGATTTAGATGAAACTTTTTATGTAATGTTACAGGAGCTGTAATAATGACAATAACAAGCAACTATGAGACATTTCTAGCCTACACTTATAGACCTATCTAAGAATAGAGATGTACAGTACATGCATGTTCAAGGTCTATAGTCTGAGGTTTCATATTTAATAAACAGAAATCTGTTTTTCTTCTTGCTGGCAATGATGGATGGTGTCAATAAGCTTTCTGCCAGTGGGAGGGTTTCTCTCTACTAACAAAGATGTCCATCAGGCCATAACATTCAACCATCTTTCATCACAAGGCTTTAGAAAATAACCTGGATGTGAATTTGGTTGACAGGTCTGATGCCTTCACCTACATAATGGAGACTCGAAATGGGAGAGTAGGGAAATGAGCCGTATCGATATATATATATGCCTTGAAATGGGATAGTATGGAAATGATCTGTATCGATATGATGTGCACATTTGTCATTAGACCATTCCTGTAATCACCAGCACTTCAATATAGGCAATTATTGGAACAATAAAGCTCTTTTTGACTGTTTATCTCACTATGTGCCAACACAGACTACATGTACATGTATTCATGTGCATTCACACACACAGGTCTATAGTGATACACAGAGTTCAGACAATTTGGTTTCAGTGGACAGGAAAATTATGTCACGAGACACAACAAAAGAAATATACAAGTGCTACTGTAAACGCTGTTATTTTTGCGTGATTAACTTTTCGCGCTGGGCGACCCCAAAACATATTCGCCGGTTCTTAAATTTGGGTTGCACGCAATTTAGCCTGTTCAAAACATGCATACGAAGTAGTGCTTATATTTTCGTGAGTTTTAAAATTCAAGCTTACAGATCTTGGCGCGAAATCCACGAAAATTAATGTATCACAAATATTTCTACTTTAACAGTATATTATTAATATAGTAGTAAACAAGGTGCCCTCTCTCTGAGAATAAGAGCATGATCCCTGCTCCTTCCTCATTCCCTTCAAAAGAGATTTAATTTGTTAAAAGGGTATTTTAAAACTGTATCATTTACCCAACAGCGGCAAGTTAACCCTATTTAGCCCGGGGGGGGGGCTTGAGAAGCCCCCCCCTCGACATTTTTCGCGATAATTTTTTAACGCAAGAAAATCTTGCACTGAAATTTTGTGACTTTTTTCTTTCGAGTCTTGCGCAACTTTTGAAAGAAATTTTTCGAAAATCGGACCTACCATTACAAAGTCACGTGTCCTTTTGTCTTCGCATGTCAGCCCGAAAATCGCTCATTTTTGTGATTTGTGTACAAAACATATGGAAATCTCATTTTTCAAATAAAGAGGTAAAACATTGGTTATTTGGTCTTGTTCAGATTTTAGGTGTTTATTTTGGGGTCAAAATAGTTGAATTATAGTTGGAAATGAAATAAAACAACAAAAACAATAAAATACATAAGTTAAAAAAACAAAGAAATACATAAGAAATTATCAAAACAATAGATAACATAAGGAATAACCCTGGTTTTTCAAATTTTTGTGTTGTATTATTATTCCAAATGGTCTAACAAATATATGTAGTGAGAAAGAATGCTTAAATATGAATAATGTCTGATTTATGGGCAAAAATGTGAATTTAATGACCTTATTTGCATAAATTACCATAAATATGCAAATGAGTGAATTTTTCAAAAAAATTGAAATTACCATAGTATTCTATACACTTCACTTGACATGTATGCAAATTTTCGCGGCGATCGGGCGTTTCACGGCCGAGATCACAGGGGGGGGCCTGAGAAGCCCCCCCCTGGGCTATGCAGTTTCAAAATAGCCCGGGCTAAATAGGGTTAAAGGGGAAGTCCCCTCTGATATCAAGTTAGTTGTAATAGAAGCATAAAAATAAAGGTCAGTAAAACTTTAACGAAATACAATTGAAAATATGAAAGTTATACACTTTCTAAGTTGCGAGCAATCAAAAATAAATTGGCAACTCTGAGAAGAATCTTGAGAGGTTCTTTCCCATTTGCTATTTCCAAAAAAAAAAAAAAAAATCAGAAATGTCTATTTCTGACATATATTGCAAATATGTTTCTATGCAACCCCTAGTATGACACAAAGCTATTACTAAAAATATATTACATTTTATATACAGCACAAATGAGAGAGGAGCTCGCAACATACTTCACAATGTTACCAGTTTGTGCTTTGTTGATTAGAAATTCATAACCTTAATAATTTTAGTAGGATTTTGGTCAAACTTTCACTAAAATGCGCTGCTCATTTTTGTTGTTGGTACTTTTATGAAAACCAACTAGATATCAGGAGGGACTTTTCCTTTAAGGCTTAAAGCATACCTGCCAACATTTGAAAATAAGAATTAGGAATTTCTAGCAGGGTTCGCACAGCCTTACCATGGCTTGAAAAAAAAAGAAAAAAAAGAAGAAAACAACGGTCTTTCAGAATTTTTAAAAATCTGAATATTCCAAATTTTTAGGTCCTAAAAATTCAGAAAATCAGAATATTCTGGATAATTTGGAAGGGTTGGCGCTTGGCACGTATTTTAAAGTCAATCACAAACAATATTTTGTCCTGCATACTGTAAGAGGTTCCAGTGCAAAATAACAGTGAGAACCTATTGAACTCTATTTATTCGGAAGGTCATATCTCAGCCAATACTCAACATATTCAATTGGTTTTCAACATTTGGACATTATTGTTTATTGTGATGCTCTTTTGGAAAATGAAGTACAAAATGAGAAATTCTAAGAAAAAGATTTTTATGATGTCACAGTTTCGGTACTCTTATCTGGCGGTCGGACCTATTCCAGCTGCATATAAATTGAATTGGGTTATTCTTACACAGTAAGCAAGCTACATGTAATGTAAATATGTATGTATGAATAAATTTTGATCTCAATACTCACCAATGAGAAAAAGATCACATTGTAACAGCATTCAAAATCAAGCCATATTTCCCTTGGATTACCCAACAGTGATGGAAATTCCTGTAAAAAGAAACAAGAAGAAGGAAACCACAATTTAAATCATTTACTTTTGTCAATAAAGAGTTGATTACAAACACAATTCCTCAACAATAATGGAAATTCCTTTAAAAAGTAACAAAAAGAAGGAAAAACATTTGCTCCTTACGCAAATGACGGATGACAGCATAGGAAATGAATATTATATGATCAACACATCGATGCATGACACCACAACCAATCTAAATCGGAAAGCAATGACCTGAAGTATAAGCCTGCAATTTAAGTGGGAGAGACAGTCATAGAATTTAATATATCCCATTGAGTCCAAACAATCAAAGTCGGTCCACTATGACCGCAAAGACAAACATAAACATATTTGTGCAATTTGCAATGCACTCATAAACAGGAACAAACTCAAACAGACCAAATATTTTCAGAATTGATTCAGGCCCCATGAGCATGCATTTCCACAGCATCTTCAAACGTATTAGTGCAACAGATATATATGTACAGTACATGTACATTTAAATGGTTTGAATGTATCTTATCTAGTAATCTCATCGTGCTTACTGCTAATCACATGCACATAATATGTATGTCATTTCCAAGAAAGAAAATGATAAGGAATAGATATTCACTGGCATGAAAAGAAAAAAAAGGGAGGGGATTCTGGAATCTGGACCCTGGCCCCAATACAAGGACCTCTCACATTATGCAATATATTTATCTAGTTACACTGTAGGGTGAGCACAAAGCAGTCAAAGCAGTAAATAGAGAAGTTTCAATGAGACGCAAAACAGTTCAGAGATCAAAGTCATGCACTCCGGAAGTATTGTTAATCCTAAATTTTTCACTCAAATTTGAAAGCAAACAAAATGCCAGACATATTTCTAGCGTGAAAGTCAAACATTTCTCCCAGCATGAGTGAAGAAAAGAGTCAAAGACTCTATGAAAGCCATTGAGAAACCGTGATCAATACGTTCCTTTGAATGAATTATAGACTGTGACGCTATTGTCACCATTCTATTCAAAAGCTGTTAAGCATGGAATTTGATGCGTAAACTGTACCGAAGGACATTCAAAAGAAAGAGGTTGACAGATATAAGAAGTGAAATGAAGCAAGTGACATACAAAATTGTATATAATCTATTTTGTACTTTGTAAGCCCTTGAGTTTTGGAACTCTTTCTGCGTCTCTGCTCTCAGCCAAATGTAGATATTTGTGCGAAGAGTCACTTAATCCCTTTAGCGTATTACTTTCTTTGGTATTGGTATGCACATCAAGGGCATGCAATCCCTTTCAATCTATTCCTTCAAATAAGAATGACACAGTTAGTCTATATACCCAACTCTAGAATTGAATTGAATGGAATGGAATTGTCAAGGTTTATTGTTAAAAATTCAAAGTCACATAATACACTGCACATCTTGAATTTAGAATTAGAAATTTGCAGGAATTATGAATATGTCATGTACATGTATGTCCTATCTGTGAAATCTTAACGTTAGCAGTGTCCTAATATTCAAATTATGCAAGGAAACCCGTTTACTTGCTAGACTTCACTGTCAGACACTATGAGTGACTGACTGGCTTTTTTTCTTCTTTGGTAGTAACATACAAAAAAATGAGCTGTAATTAAAAGGGTACAAGCATTTGTCTACATCAATAACCCACTCCTTGTAATGGCCAAAATTAAACCGATTGAATCTTTGCGCAGCATAAAACGTACGACCATTCGGTACAATGGTCTGAAAAATCAGACTATTACTTACTGGCTATATAGCTCTTAAGTCGATTTGACAACTAATAGTCATTATTTTCCCACTTAAAGACATTTTCAAGCCCCCCTATTTTTAGGGAATTTTTAAATTAGTATTATCTTTCAAATGCCGTTGGAATTTAACCTTTACATTTTTTTGGCCTGCAAATGGGACATAGTTCAAGTTCAAGTTCAAGTTTGTTTATTCAAAACCACACTAAAACATGATATAATCTTTTACATGAAAAAGAGACTGGTAATAGTACATTAATCAACATATAATAACTTGATTACATCATTAAGTGAATGGTTTTAAGCTACCAAAGTTGGTAAACTTTTTTGATACGCAGTGTACTACATATACATTTAAAGACCATCTCTGAACTGAAAAATGAAATGGATAAATCATATACAATAATGTTCAAATTATAAACTACATGTATATTTAGCAAAAGTAATGATAAAACCTTTTCTTTGGGAGAAAAATTGAAATGTGAATAGATATTTTGATAAGCTAATCGCTAATAGAGGTCTTTATTGGCAGACTAGTGAATGAATCCATTAAATGGTAGATTTAATTTGCCATGAAGCATATAGTAAACATCCAATACAATGGCATTCTACTCAGTTTGACTGTGCAAATACAATTATGGAGAACCATGCATTTTCTATGTCTTGTGCAGCACAGAGAGCTATTGTATCAGAAGACAATTCACAACTTGTCTTTGCGTGTTTGGGTTGTGAATGGCCTTTACATGAAAGTGGCCAAAGTTAAAGAGAAGGGGGAGTTCCGATTCATATTAAAGAAAAACAATTTGTAAGCTTTTTCATGAATGTCCTAGCTTATCTACATGTTTATATCCCTTGTTGAAGAATACCAAGGTAGAAATGTTCAATAAAAAGATTGCTCTCATCTCAAAGAGCTCTCAAATTGTTAAGTTAGGACTGAACTTAGGTTTCAATTTTGGATCAAATCTTGCTACATTTGGTTGTATTGCCCTTTGCGACCGACCAACATTTTTTGAAATAGACGGTCGGCTTAAAAAAAAAAAAGTATTACGGTACGGTAAAGCATTCAAAACTGAGAAAAATCAGCCCAAAGAGGGAGCTTAAAAAAAGAGAAAGTAGAAAAAAAGAAAAAGATTTCTGACCGACCGACCCATGTTTTGGCACCTACATTTGTAACTAAAGGGCAATACAACATTTTTTGTTTAGGCCTTATAGAGGAGTTCTGGTTCATGATGAAAATATATTGCAAGCTTTTTCATGAATTTCCTACCCTACATGTGTATACAGGGCGTATCATAATAAAGGATATTGAAGTTTAATGACGATTTATATGAAAACTACTGATTTCATAATAAAGCATTTTATGTCTGTTAAAGGACAGAATGTCCTCTTTTTAATGACACCCCGATCATACTACTACTGTCACAGTTGACTGAATAACAAAGCATTGCTGTCCACCATGTGAAAGGTGCACTGTGCCAAGTTTGATAACATTTCCTTCTTAGACACATAATCCACTCATTGTTCAGCATTTCAATATGTCTGGGCTGACACAAGCACTAATCTTTAGAATTTATCTGTGAATGCTAACTTGTCACAGTGCACCTTTCACATGGTGGACAGCAATGCTTTGTTATTCAGTCAACTGTGACAGTAGTAGTATGATCGGGGTGTCATTAAAAAGAGGACATTCTGTCCTTTAACAGACATAAAATGCTTGATTATGAAATCAGTAGTTTTCATATAAATCGTCATTAAACTTCAATATCCTTTATTATGATACGCCCTGTATAGCCCTTGTTGTTGAAGAATCCCAATAAATGTCTAAGTAAAAGGATTGCTTTCACCTCAAAGAGCTAGCTCTCAAATTGTCAAGGTACTGTACATAGGACTGAAACATAGTTTTCAATTTTGGAAGGTCAAGGTTTTGAATCCCGACATGGCACTAATATCCTTTGGCAAGATATTAACCTGCACTTGCTACTATCCACCCAGGTGTACCGTCAGTGCTGGTCAAATAGCTTATAGAGCGTCAAGTAGCGCCTGGCTGGAATGCTTCCCCAGGGAGTGGAGATTGTGCACACATTGTGTGCGGGCAAGTATTGAATCCTATGACCGGGGTAATAGAACATCTGTAAAATGCTTCGAGACATCGTAGATGTATTAAGCGCTATATATGCAAGTGGGAAAATTGTTATTATTTGGTACACACACCTACTGTATAGCTGTGTGAAGTGTTAAAAAAAAAAAATCACAAAGATTTAGTAAATATTCTGTATAAATAACAAAATATCCAACAAAATATGTACACACTTATAACTATGCAACAAAAGAAAATAGGAAAAAAAAGTAGGAGCTAATTAAAGTCATATAGTGATTTTTTTCTAAAACAGTGTAAAAGCAAAAACATTCAGTGTAAAATGCCATACACCCGTAAAGTGACATACACTGTATACCGTAACATACAAATGGATCAAATTCATAATCATCATAATAATTGATTAAACAAGTCTTGAAATTGTCAATATTTGCCATGTTCGCTAGACAAATGTCAAGCGATGTTTCAACTGAACTGAAAAATCATCAGAACGCACCGCAAAAAATTCCATGGTGATATCTGAAAACCATAAAACATATCGACAATGTAAACATTCATGCACAATTGCACAGTCAATTACATTACAAAGCAGATTTTGACAAAAGTCCTTTCGGATTTTGTAAGGGTGACTGTACCCTCTTTTCTCTATTGCATATTGACTTAAGAATACTAGTATTATGAAAAACCGTGCAATGGAAAATTGCAGTTTACTTTTAAAGGTAATGCAAAGTTTGGGTAAATTTTAAATATTGAATGGATAGCAATTCTTGAGAATGTTGATATGTTTGGATGCCCCTGTAGATGTATTTGTAAGCACTAGAAAATTTACCCCCTAAAACCCTTCTGCTTTCGGGGAAATTGAATAATAAAAGATTTACCGGTACTCCCAGTAATTTTTTGAATATTTCAAATAGTGCCTGTTAAAGAGAATGTTGAGTTCTGGGAAGAGGTGAAAAATAATTTGTGAGCGTTATCATTCTTATTACGCAAGTGTGGAAGAACATCAGATAAGACATGTTCCCTGAAAAGCATGGCTCTTCAAATGCCTTCATATTCTGAATATGTCATGTAACATTGTAAAAATCTATGGACAGATTTTTACGCCACATGTTTGTGTAGTCCCCTATACATCTTTCTGTGTACAGTGTTTGTAAC